CACACTACATTGTGAGAGAGTATAATTCTGGAGAAAAGAAAATATCTACCAGAAGACCTTGGCCACCAGAAAGAACGGCACTGTTACTGCTGTCCCAATGAGGGGAAACAAGGGAAATAAATTAAAAGGAAGAAAATATACCGTATATAAGAAACTCCCCTACCACCACCAAAGGCAAAGGGGCCCTAAAACATTAGCATAATTTCCCCCCCACACACCCATTTTGTCACCTACAAATGAGGTAATGAATTTGAGGAGGGAATAAAACAACACAAAACCAGCAAGAAAAATAAAATGATCTCTAAAATAATTTACAATATCAATAAACAACAATAAACATTAACAAACATGTAAACAGCAGGAGCAACTTTAGAAAAACATTGTAACTGAAGCAGCAGAAAAGCAAGGATTTCAAATGACAATGGGTTCCCAGCAGAGTTGGCGATCACTTAATCTTCTAGGGAAGAACATTCCACGCTCTGGGTGCTGCTACAGAAATTTGTCTATATTGTTACAGGCAAACAGACAGTCATGTTCTAACTTAGCTAAAATAGAAAGGTGACTTAATAAGAATGTGATTTCCAAAGTTTTATTGACAAACATAAATTATCTTTCTAGAATGGTGTCTCATTTTAGCCACTTATTGTTCAAAAGCCATTGTGTGCTAAGAGGTTTTACTCAATCTCTCACTCTGTTGGTTTTAGAGAGCCCTCTGTCAGAATGCAATTTTGTTATACTTCTGATCTGTGCAGAAATTTACTTTACGTATGGTATCTTAGAAAGATAAATAATGTTACAAGGGTTGTCATGTTTCCGTTTGGAATGAAGATGTGGTGGAGACTGTCATGTCTTTAAGAAATATGGTTTATCAACACATATTAACAACCTGTGTGCAGATGGAGGGAGTGCAGAACTTACAGCATTCACATCTCAAGAGGGGCTTGTCCTTCACAGCAGCCCAGCACTGCATTCAAAGGCTTTCTAAGTGCCATCTCTGTGCCTTTGCCCTAGCTTGTCTCCAGCCAGCACTCATGGTGCCTGTCCTTCAGTCTGCCGCATGGAGTTCTCCCCACGTCCTGCCTCTCCTTCTCAGAAAACTCCTTCCAAGCAACTCCTCCTCTTCTGTCTGCTCATCCCCATTCTCCCTGCTATTCCAAGCCTAGTTTTAAAAGGTGACAATTTTCCTGTAATAACCTCAGTTGGCAGAGGCACAAGGATTTCCCTTTGGTGGACCATCAACACATTTTGCTATGCTTAATGGCTTCTATCCTAGGTGAGACCTTGGCCTGGAAAGGGAACTTAGCCCATAATTTTCCACTGACATGGCATTGTCCCTTCAATATTAAAAAAATGAGCTAAATCCTACCCCTTAATTTTTTTCTAACATTCACGAACTCTAGCATCAGGCAGGTAGCCATGTTGGTCTGACACAATCGAAATAACAAATTAAAAAATAGTCCCGTAGCACCTTAGAGACCAACTAAGTTTGTTCTAGGTATAAGCTTTCATGCGCATGCACACTTCTTCAGATACAAACTCCAGCAGTTATGGGTGCCCTTGCACCCCAAACCCTGTTCTCCCAGATCTGTAACAATAATAATTTGTTTGCATTTTGTGCTCCCCATGAATGAAGTTTTAGGTCTGGCCAGATAATGGACCCTGGCTTTTGAGGCCTAATGAGAAGAGAGGAGAGCTTCTGTCTTTGTCATGTGGCTGATGTCATTCCACCATGCCTTTGTCTTTTATTTGGCTTGCCTTTTGACCTATTTTTCAGACAACAAAGGCACTCCCACCAATTGCATCCATGCTGTGCTCTTGAAGCTACAGATCAGAGGCTGCCTGTCTCTGTGCAGGTTTTCTGGGTGCTGGACACACAGCCCCTCATAACTTCACTCAGCCCCGTGTTAACTTCAGAAGAGTTTACCCCACCTGCCTTCTCCTTTTCTAAGCTAGATTTTATCCACCTTGTTTTCCCTCATTTATCCTGTCCTCCTCTCTCAGATCCTTTACCTTATTTGCTTCTGTCTGCTGCCTCATCTGCCTGCTTGGGAACTTGCCTTGTCCAGTGAATACTCCCCCCATTTAGCAGGGGCAGAGGTCCTTCCCGCTGCTTCCATACCTGCTTTGCCTCATAAACACTTCCTATTTCAGGTCTTGCAATTACGAGTCTTTGTTCTAATGTCATTTTAGGTTACATTGTTTCCCCAATTACGATGCATTTGATCTTAGATTCAACAATGGGTCTGTTGTTTGCTAGGTAATCTTTTGAATCAGCAGCGAGGCTCAGCGTCTCCAGGCCAAACTACACATTACACGTACTGGTCAGAATGTGTCTTTTCTCTGATGCTTTCTTTCTTAACCAATTGCAAAAGAACTGCTTAAAGCTCCACTTTCTTGCCACTTTCTGCTTAAAAACCAGCTGCTATTATTCTGCAGCGGAAACAATATTTGTTTCCTAAAGGGGGAAATCACTTGGCATGCGAATGTACATATGACAACTTATTTTGTATTCTAATAAATTATTTTTATTGTTATAGGTTATGAAACATTTTATTGTTATAGGTTATGAAACATCGTAATTAACTTTCTCTGAGATAGCCACTGGGAAACCACCCTGAAGGAATAAATTGGAGCGTGGGGGGGGTGTGCTTAGCGAAACACGGCAGAATGTGTATCAATATTTAGCCTTGGTCTGAAATGTCAGTTTATGGAGCTCCTGTCAGGGGACGATTATCTGTTTCCATGTTCCCAGTAAGGATCCCCTCCTCTAAAACCAGATAGTCCAGTGTGTTTTCCCGTCGCTTCACCATACTCACAAATGCAGTAATATTATTACCTGGGAAGAAGTTCCACTGAATAGATAGAGTTACTTTTAAATATAAATGCATAAAATTAGGCTACACATCACTCTTTTTAGCCTCTGAGACAAAACATATTAGGTGAAAATAAATCCCATTGGTTTCGATATAATTTATTTCCAAGAGCTAAGCCTCTTTTGGAAAGGAGTAACCTAGTATTTATACCATCCCCAATGTCATCCTATACATATATGTGCAGGAGAATCAGAGTGAGTTCTTACATCTAGTAGCTGAATTAGTAAATGCGCTGATATGTTTGTTTCTCTGTATGCCAGCATCCCCTATGGTTTTGAAATATTTAAAACAATTTTTTAAAAAATCCCCTCTCCCCCCCCTTTCGTCCCTCCCCGCCTCTCTCAAGATGCACACCATATCACATATTAAAAATCGAAATATTCAGTAAACTAAACCCACCTTAACATTACACGAAAGCTAAGTATACAAACTATTTAAACCAAATATTTATGGGGTTAAAAACAGGGGTGATATTCTGATTTTGATTTCATGCCACCTTTTGTAGCTGCGTTGCACACCAGGCTGGCAAAACAATCTTGATAAATGCGCGCGTATTAGTGATCTTATACAGCTGATTGCTGTTATCATTGGTAACGCTCTCACGTTAGTGTTCACACGCGAGTTGATAATAGCTCGCCACAATGTTATCTCCCACGGTGGCGTGAGCTAGCTACTGTTTAACGTTTCTGCGTCTTTCCTGCAGCGTGGGAAGCGCCTTTACAGGCCAGAGGGCCACTCTCTGCCCCTCTCGGCTCGTCTTCACACGCTGCTACGAAAGTAACGGGGGACTCAAACCCGGTTCCTCCGCTGCAGCGCGGCCGCTCCTTTCCCTTTCCCAGACTGTGGCGCGAGGCGCGCGTTGGAAACCAAGAAGCAGAACGGACGCTGCAAACCATTTGCCAAGCGCAGAGCCCGAGCTCGTGCCTGCCCAGGAGAAAGCCCCACTCGGTGCCTACTGGCTCCTCGGGAGCCTGCATCTGCAGAACACTGTCCATTTGGTTGTAGTCGCTTTGGGTTGCTCTAGGCAAGATAAAGCGACTAGCAAAATTAATAAATAACAATAATTTCCATTGCAACTACCGGTACGCGGGACGTTTGCAATGCCCGAGTCTGCGCTAGGCCAAGCCGGAGGTGCGGAAGGCGGGCCAATGGAAAGGGATGCCTGGCCCGCGAGGAAGCTTGGGGAGAAAGTCGGCAGGGAACCTCGATGGAGCCCCTTCGCTCCTTCGAGGCACCTTGCCACGGCCGGCTCCGGGCCAGCCTGGGATCGAGAGCCTCGAGGGCTGCTGCAGCCCTGGCCCGACGGCACCCTGGGTGCTTAGGCACTGCTGCAGCTCTGTAGTGCCGGCTCCAGGTTCCGGCCGGCCTGGAGAGGCAAACCGGAGGCGCGGGCGCCAAGTTCAGGGGCGTGGGTCCAAGGCGGCCCCCGGGGGGCGGAGAGCCGCGCGGGTCTAGTCCGTGGCTGGCTCCCTGGTGGCGCAGGAGACGCGGCAGCCGAGCGGCTCTTGCCCCTGCCGGGAAACGCGCCTCCGCGGCGCCCCCAAGCGGCCGGGTGCTCCTCGGGCCGCCTCGACCTCTCTCCGCTGGGAAGTGCCTCGCTTCCAGAAGACGGACGCGGCCCCGAAGCCTGGGGCGCTAGAGACCTGGGCGCAGGGCCGCGCGATGGGCTTTCATTCATTCCTGTCTGCAGATCTCTCCGCGCGAAGAATGCGCCCTGCTGGGGGAGCCGCAGGCGGGGAGAGGCGGCGGAGGCGGCCAGGCGCCAGGCGGCCAGGTGAGGCGAGTGCCTGGGGCGGCCCGATTCATGGGGCAGGAGATGCCCATGTCGATCTTTCTTCCCCCTTGTTCCTGATGTCCATCTTCCCTCAGGGAGGCGCCCTTCTGGGGTGCGCCTCTGGTGTCCCCATGTCCTGGGCCGCCCTGGCCACTCGTCCGCGTTCCAAGTGCTGCGGCGCCTCTTGGCAGAAAGCTACCTAAGGAAGCTTGCTGGAGCTCTGCAGACTCTTGTTGCAGCAGAGAGAGGTGTCTCCCCTGGTCACGGGTAGCCTGTGTGTGTGTGTGTGTGTGTGTGTGTGTGTGTGTGTGTGAGAGAGAGAGAGAGAGAGAGAGAGAGAGAGAGAGAGAGAGAAGGTCCAAATAAGGAATGCAAAGGGGGAGCTGTGCCAGCCGCGCGCAGGCTGCCGTTCTGGTCGTCAGCATCCTTCCGTGGCAGAGGACGCGATTGGCTGCTCCGTCTGTCCTCTCCCTCCAGGCTGACCAATGGGAGTCCCGGATTCCGGCCTCCTTCCTCTCTCCCGGAGTTGTGGCCAGTGAGTCTCGCTTTCTGCGTTGTGATTTGCTCCCCAATTGACCTAAATAACGAGGCTGGCGAGGGCGAGGCGCCGAGCCCGGGGCTGCGCGCTCGCTCGCTCCCTCGCTCGCTCTCCGGCGGGCTCTTCCCGGGCGCAGGAATCCCGGCTGCCCGCCCGGCGCGTCCCAGCGGGATCGGGCCCGGTTTTGGCGCAGCCCCCGGCGCCTCGGATGGGGGCTTCCCTTCGCGCTGCCCGGGCAGGAGATGAGGGCCCATTGCGCTCGCGGATGAGGACTCCGTCGACGGCGCCTCGCCTGGCCCGCCCGGTGAGCTGAGCGGGCGGCGCCCCTCGCCTCGGCTGCAGCCCGGAGCCCGGCCGCCGCGCTGGCTCTCGCCCCCCTTCGGCGATGCCCGACCAAGCCGCGGAAAGCGCGCCTCCCGCCTCGGCGCCCCCGCGCGTCTCCTCCTTCTTCATCGCCAATTTGCTGGCCGCCAAAGCCCAGGACGAGCAGCGGCCGGACGGCGCCGACGACGAGCGCCAAGCGCGGCGGGCGCGCGGCGGAGGCTTCGCGGGCAGCCATTGTTCGCTCGCCTGCTGCCCGTGCCAGGCTTCCCGCTTCGGGCTGGGGCTGCGCGGCTACCCGCTCCGGGAGAGCACCGTGGACTGGTACAGAAGAGCGCACGTGGCTTTCATAGGCTGCGCCAGTCCGGAAAGTAAGTGCCCGCCGCTGTCCGGGGTCGCCGCAGCTCCCCTTCCCGGCCCCGGGCTCAGCGGACGGAGATCACGCCGACCCCTCTTCCCGGGAGGGGGTGTCTCGTCAGATTGCACGAGGGTATTTCTGAGAGGGACAGGCTCGCGGGGAGGGGGCAGGGGTCGTGGAGCTCCCCACCGAAGGAAGACCAGCCGGGTTCAAGGCTAGTGAAGGCGGCTCTTGGAAGCGTATTGAGGCCCAAGCAAACCCCCTTGCCATTCCCTAGAGTTTCCCCAGAGTTGGACGAAACACCCCCCCTTAAAAATAAAAAGAAACATTTAAAAAGAAACCCCTTTCCTGCCCTGTGCTCCGCTGTTCTGAGGGGGTCGCCGGCCGACCTCTCTCCGCGGACCCCGCCAAGTGCAACTCCTTTCTGCCTCCTCTTCTGTCCTGGTCGCCCCGTCGACCGCAGGCCCTGGCACTGTCGGTGGGCCAGTCCTATCCTTGGGGTGTCACACGAATTTGCTTAAGACATTATTAAGGCCTCTTGAGAGAGAGAAATAATATTTCTCGCGAAAGATTCGTTTTTACAACCAGGTCTTTCTTTTGGAGACATAAAACGACATTTCTTTTCTGAAAACGGGAAATGTTTTTACAACCTATAGCTCTCCCTCGGATTTACAAATCAGTCCCCATACAAAATCCATTGAAGCTGAAAAGTGTCCCCGGATTCATTGAAAAAAATCTGGTCATCTTAGCATATATACATCCAGTCGTAAGGAGCCCCCTCTTCCCTCAGCCCCAGGGCAGCTCGGCCTCCGGCCTAGTCTAAATCGCGGGCCCGGCCTGCAGCAGCGGAGCGCCTTTCTGGGAAGCAAGTTTTGGAAACAAGAGAAGCGGCTTCCGAGGAAAGGGCTTCGGCTTAGCTGGAAGAGACCACTTTGTCGCCTATTAGCGAGAAGAAACTTGGCTAAATCCAGATGTTTAGCTTTAACTGAGCTGGGTGCTTGGGTGCTTTGTCCCTAAAACAAACACAAACAAAGGCTTTGCTTAACTTCAGGAGGAGAGATCGAGGATTGCAAAAGGTACTTTGCGCGAGAGGAGACTAGGATTTGGGGTGTGCCAGAAGCAGCGACGGTATTGGGGAAATTATTTGGCTTTTTGCAGCCTATTTTCTAAGAACACAGACACCTCGACTCGTTGTAGTATCTGGGTTGGGCCTTGTGGCGCGCAGCCCCCTTCCCTGCATTTTAAATTGCTTCGGGGAGCCTCGTGATCGTCAGATCTTGGCGCTTGAATCTCGAAGGCTTCTCCGAGGGCGGGCGGGCGTGTGGGCTGGGGTCTGCCCAGAGATGCTGTCTGTCTCAGCCCTCTGTTAGCACAAATCTCTCCCGGGCTCCTGTAACACGGCAAAGAGGAAAACAAGAATTAAGAGGCGAATTAATCGGCAGCCCCGATGGCACTTGAGCAAGGCTTGTTGGAGGGGGGTGGCCGAAGGTCAGAGCTCAGGATCCTTTCGTTTCAGTCCTTGACCCGTCCCTGCTTCGCTCACCCTCTCCTCCTTTTTCAGCCAGCGACAGAGACTCTCCGGAGATCTCCGAGGAGGCATCTCCCGGGAAGGAAGCGGCAGCAGCAGCAGGAGGCGGCGGCGGCAGCGGCTGCTGCGAGAAAGTGGCCGCGGAGCTGAGCCCCGGCGCGAAAAGCGAGGACTTGGCGTGCAGCGGCGGCGGCGGTGCCCAGGAAGGCGGTGGCGGCAGCCAGGGCAGCAGCCTGGACGAGGAGCGCGCGGAGGAGTCGGAGGGCGGCGAGGGGCGCGGCGGCGGGCGCAAGAAGAAGACGCGCACCGTCTTCAGCCGGAGCCAGGTCTTCCAGCTGGAGTCCACCTTCGACGTGAAGCGCTACCTGAGCAGCTCGGAGCGGGCCGGCCTGGCCGCCTCGCTGCACCTCACCGAGACGCAGGTGAAGATCTGGTTCCAGAACCGCCGTAACAAGTGGAAGAGGCAGCTGGCGGCCGACCTGGAGGCGGCCAACCTCCCGCACACGGCGGCGCAAAGGATAGTCCGCGTGCCCATTTTGTACCATGAGAACTCGCTGGCGGGCGGCGCGCTGGGCTGCTTCCCGCTGCCGCCTCCCGCGCACGCCTCTCCGCCGCTGGTCGCCGTCTCCGGCAGCGTCGCCTACCCGCTGGCGACCTTCCCCGCGGCCTCGGCGCCCTTCCTCCGCTCGCAAGTGACGGGCCTCGTTTGATCCTCGGCCGCCTGGACGCCGCTTTCCTTTCTGGGTCCCAAACTACTTGATTGGATGCTTTTGATTGTTTTAAAGGTGCAATAAACTTCTATATTTTCCCCGGGCCTAATAATATTTTTTTTCCAAAAAGCCAAGCAAAAAGTCTCTACTTGACCTCCGTTCCTCGGACTTCTCCTGAGCAAGAGCCTGCCATGGTTGCGTCCAGGAATATTGGAGAAAACGCCAACCATAGTTTGCGGGCTCAAGTCCTAGAGACACTTCTCCTTATCCTCCGAAGATCTGCGGGTGGGCTTCTCGCGTTTCTTAATGGCGGCAATGTTGTGTAAGAAAAGAATGTAAAGATGTTTACTTTTCCAGCCACAATGACAGGGACCACGGCCTCCTCCCCTTGTCCGCCCCCCCGCAGCTCTTCCTCGGATCAAAAGTATAGTTGAAACAGTGAATCTGTCGCATAGTTTATTGCCTTTTCATAGGATGAGGAAGATTGAGGGAAACTGAAGTATTGGCATTCAACAAGATAGTTTTATCTCCCTCCCTCGGAAAGCTTTTCATTCGGTATCTTGTTTAGGAAAGGCCTTAGGTGGCCTACCTTGAAATTGATTGTCAATGGGTGTTTTGTATCTTTTTTTAAAAAAACCAACCTGGAATTAATTGGATGCTAAAGAGATTTGCTTTCCAATTTGCAAATAATTATTGAATTTTGGTCAGGTTTTCATGAGGAAAAAAAAAACTTCAATCTTCTCTTGCTGTGACATTTACGATATAAAATCCATATTCGGATTTATTTTCTATCCCTCACACTCCAGAAATCAACATATATGACGTATGCGCTATAATTATTCAGTTGATTTTAATTTATGGTATAAAATGTTTTAAAATCCTCCTTAATAATTTTCATTCTTCAACCAATTCCCCAAGCGCCCCATTATAATAGTTTATACTTCCCTTGACGTCATGTTATAGCCTAATTCTGTTTGAGCAGTTGAAAACGATCAATTTGCCAAAGCCTTTGATTTCCTTCAGTCATGTTCGAATATGTTTCCTGTGGAAAGCTGGAATGCGCATTCATGTGTCCTGTTCACAACATATTAGAGTAAAACTTCAGTTGATAACTTGTCTTTAGCGACTGTAATGCGGTATTATATGAAGTATTATGCATGCGTAAACTATGTTTCTTTAACCAACCTTTTTCTCTGCCTAAATATTTATGGAAGCAAGTCCAAGTCACAAAATTAATCCCAGTTTGGTCAGTTTGCTGTAGCAAATCTGATTTGGGGGTGGGGGAAGAGATGGAAGGAGAAATGAAGAAGGGATTTCGCCAGATAAGTTACTCTGGGATGTACATCAAGCTGTAAACATATGTATTATCTTAGTACACTCAACTATAATTTAGCCTCTTAGCTCGGAGCTATTCCCAGCACAGAGATCGTGGAATATTGAGGGGTTGTGTGCCCTCTTTTTTAAAAACAAGCAAACTAATTTTTAGTGTTATTTGGAACAAGCTAACCATTTATGATAAGACGAGAACGTTGAAATAGCCGGTGACGAGGGAACACCCGTGACGCCTGTAAAGCTTGAAGGATATATTTTGTAAACATAAAGCTTTTCCAATTTTTGAAGCCTACTTGCAATTATGAATTAATGACTCTAGGATCATAATTGGCAGCTAAACACGAAAAAATAGAGGGGGAAACGATTTTTGTTGGTAGTTCGGCTAGTATTTTGAGAAGCGTATTTAGATAAGGAAGTAATTGTTCGTTGTTTAAACCAGTTTTTATCTGCATAACAGTAATGCAGTCTTTATATTAAAATGCCCACTTATTTTTATGCAGCTAAATCCTAAAGCAGTGTGTCTGTCACGGAAGAAGCTGCCTTCGCAGAGGGGCTTTTAAATCGTTGTCTGCTGGGGCAAAGCGCAGACTATTCAACGTGTTAAAGATCACATGCTCCAAAGTATTATTATTTATATACAACAGGCAGAATATATTGCGTGTCTGTCTTGTCCCAAGCTATTAGGATGTGATTCTGCCGTTGTGCGTCGGAGGGTCTTTCATGCCTTCAGCGCTGTGATTACAACACCAGCAGGATCCAAGATGGCTCATTATCCTTCAGATAATTTAAATTGAATATGTTTAAGGTTGCAGGTTTAGGCCTACTTGGAAGCAAATCCCATTAAACTATGTAGGATTTACTTTCCAACAAATTTAATTCGAGTTTTTTGTTCCAGTTACATCCCAGCCCCCCCCCCGCCCTTGATCCACGTGTTTACAGGTATCCAAGAAAACACAAAAGTAGCTCCATGACCACCATAATTGGTTTCCCAAAAATCTTGTAAGTGTAAAAAGGACACTTCGCTGCACGCATATCAAACCGGGGGGGGACCCCGCCCCCTTCTCTTGATACACCTGACCGCTTTCCTTCCCCTTTCTGCTCCTCCCTAGAAAACGCGATTGCTCGGGGGTCTCCAAAATGTTTTTTAAGGCAACAAACTGGCAGCTAAAAAATGTCTTCTTGCTGCTGCTGCTTCTCTCTCTCTCTCTCTTTTCTAAAGGCATTCTGAATATTTCAATAAACAATTGTTCATGTATGCTAAGCTTGCAATCTGTGACTCGTGCCTTCTCCTTTTTAAAGGTTTCTTAGTAGGAGTTCAAACGAGCTCCCTTAAAGGCGCAGTGCTAAGTGCGGAAAAGCTCCCATTCCGTTCAGTCGGGCTTGCTCACAAATTCGTGAGTACGGGCTCGAACACTTAATTTGGGAACGAGACGCCACGAGTTTATTCCTGGGTAAATATCCTTGGGAACTGTGGGGCCCGAGAGGCTGGCCGTTCTCTGCGCCGCTTCTCTTCTGCGTCTGGTCTTGAAAGTTTGCTTTTGTATTTTTGCCTGGCGAATGCTGGAGGCGGTGGAAGACTCATAACACAGCATCGTTAATTTCACTGCCATTTCGATTTCCAAGAAGAATCAGTTTATATGCGTTAAGCTGCTTCCTCGAAAGTGAGGCAAGAGGTGGAAATAGCATGCCTCCCCGTTTGTTTGTTTTAATTAAAACCTAGTGCACGAGTCACACAATTAAATTGCAAAATTCCGTGCACTGTCCGTATTTGGAATAATAAAGACATCCGATGGCTTTATAAACTATACAGTATAAGATACAGCAAAGTAATACATAATTATTTTTAGTATAACTTACGGAGAAAAAACAAAAGCATGTCAAAGAAAACTTTAAGTTGCATATGTACAACTTTATGCTTGGATATAAGTGTCTCGTATGTAAGAGGGAAGACTTACTTAGAGTTCACTCTTAATCCTAAAGGCAGACACAAATCTATATGTGTTTAATCGGAAGAAAGTCGGATTTGAATCCAGTGACCTTTCCTCTCAAATATGTGTATATAGAATTGCATCTGTGAAGTGACAAATCGTGTAGGTAAAGTGCTTTGAATACTAAACAAGAGAAGAAGAGTTGCATAGATATAAAATTATTAACTACTATTGCTATTGCGTAAATACGACGGATTTCAATGGACAGTATTAAGCAAAGATAAAACCCTCGACAGTTTTAAGTCTCTGTGATCTTGGCAGGACTTGCTTCTAAGAGGTCTGTACATGATTCCATAGCCAAGTAAAGCCACCTCTTAGAGGGACTGTGCTATTATACACCCGAATCCCGGCGCGTTGGGGCATCCTCAAAGGGAATCGCTGCTGCAACAACTTACACCTTGACCCAGGAGCTCCAGGAGCTCCTCCCACTTGCGTGAAAATCTCTGCTCAGGTTTCGGGCCCAAACTACCAGGGAACCCATAGACACAAATGCGGAACCATTCAATAAGCGCGCCTCAGCAGGATCCTTAGCCCTTTATCCCACTGATCCGCTTGTCTTGCCGTCCCTGGCAAGGGATGAGGCCACCTCGCCCGCCCCTGCAGCCTTCGCTTGGCTCGCTCTGCCTCAATAGGTCGCTGCAGCGCTCAGCCGCGGAGGGCAAGGAAGTGGCTGGAGTCTGGGCTGTCCCTCTTCTACGAATCTGGACCAGGAGGCACCGGCGACGGTCCCTACTGGAAGGTAAATTCTTGGGCAAAGAAAAACGTGCATGAATCCTGACAGTGGAAGGGACCTGAAAGGTGGGCGCTGAAGAAGCACTGATATTTACAGGACGGCACTTGGCGATCAGCGGCGTTGCTTCCAGAGCTGGACTCACCTGAACTCAGCAAATTGTCACGAAGGCAAGTTAAGATTAATTAGGATGAAGATGCGGGGTGGCGTTGCGTCTCCCTAACCCTCACCTCCTACAAAGCTCGGCGTCAGAGAAAGAAGCAAGCAGTTTAAGCCTTTGCCTGCGTCCTGGGAGGCAGAGCCCACTGAACGGATTTGCAGGTGCTTAATATTGTCGCCTAATTTAGCCATAAACCCTGGAACAACTAACCTCCCAACCTTAAGAAGACATTTTGTGTGTGGGAAAAAATCATTAAGAGTGTTCACTCCCTCCTTGATTACTCCTCTGAGTAACGTTTCCTCTCCTGAGTAAAGGATGCTTCCGCCTTGAGCATGTCTAGTTCTCACTAAAGGGACACTGAGGTCCAGCTCCAGGGCCTTCTGGCGGTTCCCTCGCTGCGAGAAGTGAAGTTACAGGGAACCAGGCAGAGGGTCTTCTTGGCAGTGGCGCCCTCCCTGTGGAACGCCCTTCCACCAGAAGTTTTTAATGCTTGATTCTGTATTGTGTTTTTGTATGTGTAGGAAGCTTCCCAGAGTGGCTGGGTGGGGTATAAATAAAAACATTATAATTTTTATGAAACGGCTGCTCCGCTCCCAAACAACGTGCCTTCCAAGGGCCAACTGAGGGAGGCAAAGCGGAGGGAAGGGGTGGGGGGGAAGGAGCTGGTGGCCCCATCCCGCTCAGGCTGCTCGGAAGGAAGTGCTCAGTGGGGTGAAGGAAGCTCTCCTCAAGGAAGGGCCCCTCCATTGCAGGTAAACCCGTGCCAAGACAAGCCTAGCTAGACTTGCGCTATTGATTCCCACGTGGAGCGTCGGTCATTTGAAGCACATTCCGTTGAAATAAAGTGCAATACGATTTTTTATTCTATTTATTGCGTTCATATCCCACCTTTTTCTCTAGGGAGCTCAAGATGGTGTACATGGTACTTCACAACGGTAGGTCGGGCGAGAGACAGTGACCGGTCCAGTGAACACCTTGGCTGAGTGGGACTCTGAAGCCTAGTCTCCCAGGTCCTAGCCCGACACTCTAACCACTACGCCACACTGCAAACTCTGCTACTACCGGAGTCCCCCACGGAGAAGCACTGCATTTTTGTCTCTCCCTTCCCGGTAAAGACCGCCCCTCCCCCAAGTGGCTCACGTGAAGGTATCCAATGGCGCTTTCTTTTTCTTTCTTTCTTTCTTTCTTTCTTTCTTTCTTTCTTTCTTTCTTTCTTTCTTTCTTTCTTTCTTTCTTTCTTTCTTTCTCTCTTTCTTTCTTTCTTTCTTTCTTTCCCTAGAAAGTTAAAAACCAACCATCCATCTGGCAGCCGGCTTCTACTGCTGCAGCCAAGTGCCGAGAGAGGGGCGATTGCTCAAGCCTGCCTTTCCCTTTCCGCCCTTTGCCCCCAAAATGTGCTGGTATAATAATAATAATAATAATAATAATAATAATAATAATAATAATAATAATAATAATAATTTATGCCGCCCTATACCCGGAGGTCTCAGGGCGGTTACAACATAAAATCACAATATAAAAACACAAAATGCATAATAAAAACAAACAAAAAACAACAACCAATAAGCCCCACTCCCCATGGAAATGGTTCTTTTTCATCATCAGTTTGGGGTCAAATGGCTTACAGAGGAAGAGCAACTGAGCCAACTTGTTTCCGATTGAACGTATTGAGATTCCAGCTTTAGGAGGTCCGGTGGTGACCGAACAACGCAGCTCACAGCAAGTGTCCTTGTCATCTTCGGGATTCGCTTTTGAAATCCGAATAGGATGTGAGCTGAGTCATATTGGACAAGTTACTGGTGCGAAGGCCAGTAGCCAGATCCAAAAACCAGTTCGGAGAGGCTGGACTTCTTGCCCCGAGACTGGTGTTCTGGAGCACGTGCTGGACACAACAATAGCGCAGAGTAGTGGATTTATTCTGACTGGTGATGGGGGGCGGCGTGTTGAGATTCCTGCATTGCAAGGGGTTGGACTAGATGACCCTTGAGGTCCCTTTCCAACTCTACAGTTCGATTATTCCTTTCGTTGTTCTGCCATACTTCCTCCAGCGCTACTCCCTTAGGCTGAGGGGCTACAGCAGGGGTCAGCAAACTTTTTCAGTCCACTGTCCCTCAGACCTTCTGAGGGGCCAGACTATAGTTTTTTTTGGGGGGGGGTATGAACGAATTCCTATGCCCCACAAATAACCCAGAGATGCATTTTAAATAAAAGGACACATTCTACTCATGTAAAAATACGCTGATTCCTGGACCCTCCATGGGCCGGATTTAGAAGGAGAATGGGCCTTCGTTTGCCTACCCATGGGCTGCAGCACACACACACTCACAACACTGTGGCACGAAAAGTCACGGGATTTCAGCTGGAAGTTACCGTCTTATCAGAAATGAAGCCGAGCGACTGCCTGGAAGGCTTTGCAAGGCCAAACAGTATCGAAGGTGGCATTGCTATGCCTGCGCCCACAGCGTCAGGATCACAAATATCACTAGTTACAGGTAGGTAGTCGTGTTGGTCTACCGTAGTCGAAACAAAATAACCCCCCCCCTTCCAGGTGCTCCTTAGAGACCAACTAAGTTTGTTACTGGTATGAGCTTTCGTGTGCATGCACACTTATCTGAAAGCTCGTGTGCATGCACACGAAAGCTCATACCAATAACGAATTTAGTTGGTCTCTAAGGTGCTACTGGAAGGAATTTTTTGTTTGTTTGTTACAAATATCACTGAATGCGCAACTAAAAGAAGTCTGGAGTCACGCAGAGGAGGCAGGATTCCTTCCTTGTATGGGAGCTGATTTGGGGCTCTGTAGTCCATCACCCTCTCCTTTTTTTCCTAAGGCCATGCTACGCTGAACACGCAGATCTTGTCTGATCACCCTCTACTTTTGAACGCAGAGACTATTTATTTGCGTTTGATATTTTAGACTTTATGTGCTGCCGCTCAGACCAGGGCTGCAAATAGATGGAGGCGTTGGGAGTAGGTAGAATGGGGGCAGCTTTGCACCCCCCGATCCAAAACTCAGCAGTAAAACACACAGACACACACAGAAACTCCTCCACCCTTAAAGGCTGCCCTCCTGAACTCGGGCCAGTTCATTGCCATCCACTTCAGTAAGATTTGAGCCTCCTTTCTCCGCGCAGCATTTCAGCCAATTTACTCCGGCTTCCCTACTTGCAGGGAACTTAACTGGGTTTCCTTCTTGCCCCTTTTAAGTGAACGTGTTTGAGTGATGGGACGGAGAGGCATTTGGGTAGAAGCGACGCCACTCTCGACCTGTTAAGCGCAGGAAGATGCCATATACGTATATTTGGTCAAGATGCTGCCGTGTGGCCTTCCTCAGGCTTTAATAATAATAATAATAATAATAATTTTTTTTAAATTTATATCCCGCCC